GACTAAGTCCTGCTGAATCTCCCATCTCTCAGGCGATTGGGAGAAATCAATCCCAATGTTTTGGTGGGTCGAGGGCATTCCTGGGTTACCTACTCTGAGTTATGGTTGGCCATTTGAGTAGGGGTCGGCCAGGGTTGGTTTGTAGTGTCTTTGTTGTCTTATCCAGGGAGGACCTTTTAGGCCAGGCCAGAGGGAAGGAGGGTACCCCTGGGGCAGGGCAGTGGGGGAGATATTTTGGACGGGTGGGATCTGGCAACATTTATCTTCTAGATATGGCTTTTGCACTTGACCAAGGGATAGTCAGAGGGGCGCTCGGTGAGTAAACAGTCATGACCCTCCATCACTTCCCAAACTGACCTCCCACACAGGGATACTTGTAAACAACCCAAGGGAACAACAGCTCCTTATAGATTCTGTAAATGTGATTAAGGCTCTGCTGAAGACAGAGGTTCAGAGTGTGGCCAAGGGCAGGGACCAGTCAGGTGGGACTAGTCGAGGGCAAAGGCTCTAGCTCTCTCTGCTGAGCCCCAGCCTGTGTGGGTTATCTCATCAAAGCCCTACATTGATTTGGGTCCTGGGTGCTAGGTTGTTTGTACCTTATGCATTCACTGGGAGGCAATCTGATAAGGGTTTATGGAGAAGAGGCTGTGAAATAGGACAGACTCTGGCTTAAATCCTAGCACGGCTACATATTAGCCTTGTGAGCTTAGATTGATTTCTTCTTTGCTCTGCCTCAGTTTCTTCATCTGTAGAATGGGTACCATGATTGCAGTCTCCTTACCAGATAGGCATGAGGATTAAATGAGACCTCCCACATAAAGCACTGAGTGCCGTGCCTGGCACATAGTATATTATTATTACTATTATTAAATTAACTTCTGTCAGTGAAAACCAGCCTCACCCTCCCTATACTTTCCCTCCTTTTCCATGGCCATGGACCCTGGTCACAGGCACATTTGATGCTGCAATACCCCTGCTGGTCCTCACTTGGTTAACAAGAATCGCCAGGGGCCCACGCATGAAAGCACCCACATCCTTGGCCGTCGATGTTCCACCAGCCTCCCTCCCACCTTCTCTGGTGGGGCAGGAACAGAGATGTAATTGAGAGCCCTCAGTCCCGAGGTGAAGCAAGCTGTGCTCTGGGATTGCTCACTGTTCTCTCAGAAAGAAGAGTAGCTGGGTCCATCTGAAAGAGGGTCGCGCCTGGAACTCAGCTCCCAGGAGGTCACCCTGAAGGACCTGCAGAGGAGCCTGTGTCCTGGTGGCCTTAGGCGGCTGGTTTACTGGTCAGTGTGTGTGTGTGCATATTTCTGTAGTAACTGGTCATGGGTCCCCAAGAGGTGTCCAGAGGCAAGGGGTACGGTGGGAAGGACACAGGCCTTAAAGTTTGCGAGGCCAGCTTCCGGGCTGGATGCGCATGGAAAGTTAGCTTTAGATCCCCAAGTCTCGGGTTCTCATTTGAAACAAGAGGAGGGGAAACCTATTTTACATGGCATTTGCTAATTAAATCAGAGCGTGGATTAAACATGTCCGGCACAAGGTCTTGGCATGTGGCAGGCACTTGGATGGTGGCTTCTATCGTTTTTGTGCTTGTTGGTGTTGTGGGGGATGTGTCCACGGGTAGGGTTCAGCTTATCCAGGAATTATGCTATGTCTCTCTCACTAAGTGACCCTTGATCAGCGGCCACCTATTTGCCTGTCTTCCGTTTTTAAAAGAAATTGTGAGAAGGCATTATTGGCAAGTCTTCTCAGCTTGATATTGGTAGAGATAGAAGTAGGGGTTTAGGCAAATGCATAAAACCTTTATGTGCTGGGATGGGGAACGTGTGTGGGCAGGTTTCTCTCCTTGGGAGTGGGAGTAGGGGGTGGGGGGTTGGGGAAGACTTGCATTCCAAATTCTCATAATGTCTCATCATTTCTGTAGAAAGAATTTTTTCTTGTTTTGTACTCCAGATTCACCTGTCTCTAACTTCGTTCAGCAAATATTTACTAATAACCACTCTAGTACTAAGAGCTACCATTTACTGAGCACTTAAAAGCACTTTCCATACTTAACCTCTAACCCTCAGCTCCTTTGACAAAAAGCTACCTCATTTTACAAACGAGCAAACCCAACTGGGAGAAATTCCATTACTCACTCAAGTATTTCCCCTGGCGGAGGTGAGAGGACCAGACACTTTATCTGGGGGAGGTAGAAGCACATGAAAGAGAACCCGAGGCAGCCTCTACCCTCCAGGACCGGACAGTGAATGTGGCGAGTTAACTCCAGGCGAAGCAAGTGAGACACATGGTGTGGTGGTGTTTCTTTGCAGAGCGCTCCTGTGGGGTGTAGAAGACAGAATGGCTAATTCTGTCTGGGTGGGAGTCGTCCTGGGGGTGACTGAGCTGTCTCGAAGGATGTGTTCATTTTGGAAGGGGAGCGGGCAGGGGAGCGTGGCCAACCCAGGCCTGTTTATGGCTGTCTGGAGACGGAAGCCCAGCCAGGAAGAAAAGGTGGCCGGTATGGGGAGGTCAGGCAGAGCCATGCGGGGCTCCTTGAGGGAACCTTCCTCAGGAAGAGAGGACATACAAGAGCTGGGGGTTTTAGGCAGGGCCCCAAGGCTTAAAGAAGGGCAGAGAAAGCGAAGGCAGAGCCCATCCTACGGATCAACGGGGCCTGGCCACAGAGGGTCATTCTGAGGCTGAGGCCCCCATGGGGTGGGCAGGGTGGGCACAGCCACCAGAGCCCCCAGCCTGGGTGCAGAAGACCTGACCCCAATGGAGGGGTGCTGACGCCTGTTTCCATCAGGAGCTGGGAGGGTGGGGTCGCTGCAGCCCAGAGGTGGGGAGTCTCGGGAGAGGCCCACTGTGGGGACCTGGAGAGGCCAAAGCCTGGGGCAGCCAAGACCAGGAATGCCGGGGGCGGGTGGAGTGGCCCGTTGTCACAGCAGTTTGGCAGAGGTTGGTGCGAGGAGCCAAGGGGCTGGAAACAGAGGGTGGAAACAGCCTGTGAAGGGCTTTCACTGCCAGATGTAGAAGTGTGGGCACTGGGGAGGTAATTGTTTTTGAGCCCAAGAATGCCATGGTCAAACCTACAGTCTCTTTCTCACTAGAATGTGAGCTTCTGGAGGCAAGGAGTTTGTCTTTCATTTCACTAATGTACTTTTCACTAGCGTATTTATTTAATAAATATGTAGAACCACAATATATACAATGTTTATGGATATACACAATGTTTATGGGTATGTAGATATATAGTAAACTTTTTAAAACTTTGATGAAAAGAATACACACTAATGGCCAAGGTAGTGGTGACTTTGAGGGAGGGAGGAAATGGGATTGAAATAAGATAGAAAAGGAACTTTAACTGAGTCTGACGCTTTTTTTTTTAATAAGGAAGGACTGAAGAAAACATGATTGTAAACAGTTGTTCAATCTGAGTGATGGGTACATGGGCTCCTATTATATTACTCTTCATAATTAAAAAATATTTCTTACTTTTAAGAAGAAAACAAATTCACACACACATATTTTATTAGATGTATCAAATATCTCTTCTCCAGAAGATGGAGCGACCTCAGTGAGGCCTTATAGCTTCTTAGGATTACAGATAGGCCTGGATAATTCTCTTGGTAGAGAACCTTCGCAGGCCTCCAGATTGTCAGCAGCTGTAGCCAACGTGCTGCTCTGATGGAGAGAAGCCAAGCCTGGTTTGTTTCCCTTCTTTTCTTGATGCCTGTAGTTCAGAGCAATTATTTATAATCTCATTGTGCTTAGAATATAATTCTTGGGGGAGGATCTCAACCCTTGTTTCTGGTGGCATGATGTCGTATTAACGGCATACCTCCTGGCTCACTCCTCAAGGGTAAGATTATGGGATTGTGGGTTTTGATTCCTACTTGTGTCAGGGAAAGAAGATATACTGTGCACTCAGAGAATATGTTTGAGTCCAAGCTCCACATCTTCCTAGCTGTGTGACTTTGGTCGATTCACTCAACCACTCTGAGCCTCAGTTTGCTAAGCAGCAAAATGTGATGACTGAGAGGATTAGATGAGCTGATAGAGTGTGTGGAGGCACCGATGACAGAGCCTGGTGCACCGTAGATGCTCAACCCGCATTAACTCTCTTCCCATTGAGGGTCTTGTGCAACCTGACCTTTGTTCTCTCCCCTCCCACCCGCAACCATGCTCATCCTTCAAGGCCCATTGAAATTTATCTCCTCCTTAAAATCATTCTTCATAACTCAATAGCTCATGCCACTGACTGCTTAATAATCATAGTTGATTTTTTCATCTGATTATTTTTTTTTTGCCTCCTTAGATGGTAAAGCTTTTGAAAGCAGGAACACCATTTCAGGCATCATTAAGGGGTGGTGCAAGTCCCACTAGCATGGGTATTAATTTCTGCTAGGTAAACGTGGGGCTCCACATAGCTTTGGGGGCTTCAGTTTCATCAGTAAAATGGCAATAATAACCCCCCTCAGTTTCTAGAAGATCCATTGAGACAATTTCTGGAAAACATAGTTAGGAGGAGTTTAATAAATATTGTTGAATGACTTTAACTTGCTTTGAAAAATGAAGTTCTTTACAAATGTCAGACGTTATTTTTGTGTGTGTGTGAGGAAGATCAGCCCTGAGCTAACATCCATGCCAATCCTCCTCTTTTTTTTGCTGAGGAAGACTGGCCCTGGGCTAACATCTCTGCCTATCTTCCTCCACTTTATATGGGACGCCGCCACAGCATGGCTTGACAAGCGATGTGTTGGTGCGCGCCCGGGATCCGAACCTGGGCCGCCAGCAGCGGAGCGTGCGCACTTAACTGCTACACCATGGGCCAGCCCCAGACATTACTTTTAATTCCCCCTAGTATATGGTAGAAGCCCTTGTATTTACTCGCTGCTAAGAGAAACCACGTGCTTAAATATTCTCCAGTCGTCCAGATGAAGACCAAAAGAGGCCTCATATAGGGATTACAAAGCTTCCTCTAGTTTTAAACAAAATTTTCTCTTTGTTCTCACCAGGATCGAGATGACCACAGCCACCCCTTTGCGGGGGACCACCTTCTTCTCATTGAATGTGACCACCAGAGGAGAAGATTTCCTGTACAAGAGTAAGGTCAACTTGGCTTGGCAGCCAGGGGAGGGATGGCGGGACAAGTACCGTGGTCAGCTGCTGGTGTTGAGGTCGAGAGTATGGGCACGGAAGACAGAGTGCCTGGGTCTCAGTCTCAGTTCTGCCACTTGCCAACTGCATGACCTCAGCACGTGACTTCACTGCTCTGTGCCTGTTTTATCATCTATAAGATGGGGATGTTAGTAAAGCTACCACACAACACGTCAGGTGTCAAGACTAAGAGATAATCCATGTAAAGAGCTTGGAGGGGCTGGCCCTGTGGCCTAGTGGTTAAGTTCAGTGCGCATCACTTCAGTGGCCCAGGTTTGGTGGCCAACCTGTGGCAGTCACTCACATACAAAATAGAGGAAGATTGGCACAGATGTTAGCTCAGGGCCAATCTTCCTCAGCAAAAAAAAAAAAAAGTACCTAATGATTATTACTATTACTATTATTTTCATTAGGAAGTTTTGGGGTCTAGAGGGCAATGGGAATTTGACTCTCTTGTAAGATGTCCCTAAATGAGTCACCTTAAAATGTAGCTACTTTCAGGACCGGCCCCATGGCGTAGCAGTTAAGCGCACACACTCCTCTGCTGGCGGCCCGGGTTTGGATCCCAGGCGCGCACCGACGCACCGCTTGTCAAGCCATGCTGTGGTGGCGTCCCATATAAAGGAAGGAAGATGGGCACAGATGTTAGCCCAAGGCCAGTCTTCCTCAGCAAAAAGAGGAGGATTGGCATGGATGTTAGCTCAGGGCTGATCTTCCTCAAAAAAATAAAATAGAATGTAGCTACTTTCATACTATGTTTGCAAGGCAAACACATCCCATCAATTTACAAAGGAGTAAATGAATGTAGGTGAGAAGAGTTAGTCCTGTAGAGACATTTGCCAGGAACAAGGGGTCCCCAGAAGGAAAAATTTGAGGACTACTCTTCAGAGAACCAATTGATTGTATTAGGGGAAGTCTGGGTCCATTTTAGTCATTTCAGTTGATTTGGTATATACCTCTGCAAATGGACCAGGCCTCCTGACACCTGTGGAGGGCTCCCCCAGTGATACACCGCTCCAGGCCGGGGTACTGGCAGGAAGCTGGATTAATGGCAGGATGTGTCTCTTCTGTGGATAGGGTCCCGCACGTTAGCCTGCTGCTTGCTGGGTGGGGAGACCTGGAGAGGCCTGCTGAGTATGTCTCAAAACAGTTCTGAAGAGAAATGCGGAATAGACAGAAACACTGTCAACAAGATGGGACTAATTCTGTCTTCATTTAACTAAAAGTAATGCTTCTCACCTAGGTGATTTTGCCCCTGTAGATAGGGTTACCAGATTTAGCAAATAAAAATACAAGACACGCAGTTAGATTTGAATTTAAGATAAACGATCATTTTTTAGTATAAGGATGTGCCATGCAATATTTGAGACATACTAATAAATTATTCATTATTTGTCATAAATTCTAATTTAAACAGGTATCCTGTACTTTATCCCACAACCTGACCACCAGGGGACATTTGGAAATGTCTGGAGACATTTTTGGTTATCACAACGTTGGGGGAGGGGAGGAGAAGTGCTCCTGGCATGGGTAGAGGCCAGGGATGCTGCTAAAAATCCTACAAGGTACAGGACAGTCCCCACAACAAAGAATGATCCAGACAAGGTTGTGAAAAACCTGCGTGAAAGTATCATCACTGGACTCCCCAGGAAGGAAAGAAACACAAGTTACTCCATGATGGATTCCCTACCCATTCCTACTTTTCCTCCCAGTCTTTCTTTCTATGAATGTTTGCACATAGTTGTTTTTTTTTTTAATAGACCTTTTTTAAAAGCATTGTATAATTCAAAAAGTGCACAAATCAAAAGTGCACAGCTGGATGAATTTTCACAAAATGAACACATCTGTGTAACCTGTCTCTGGATCAGGAAACAGACCACCACCAGTATCCCAGAATTCTCAGTGCCTGTTGCAATCACTATTCCCCCGCCCTCACCCCAGGGAACACACTTGTTCTGACTTCTACCACCAGAGATTAGTTCTGCCTGGTTTTGAACTTTCAGTGAATGGAATCATACCGTACATACTCTTTTACTCAGCATTATGTTTGTGTGTACATATTTTAACGGTTGCACTGTAATGTGTATATATGTAGATATGGGTGTGTATATAATATATTCTATTTTCTACACATCATTTAAATTACAGTATAATATTTCATAGGATAATTGGGCCATACCTTGTGGAACCATTCCCATATTTAGAATATAAATAATGTTGTAATAAACATCTTCGTTCATACAGCTTTTTCTGTATTTAGGATTATTCCCTAATAAACTCCCCAGAATCAAATAGGTTGGTTTAAAGTGTGAACCTTTAATGGTTCTTGATATTTTCAATGTCACTTCTGCCAAGGATGTTGATCTTGAACCTAAAATTAGAGTTAGACATTGGGATTGGGAGCTGATACTGAAATTAGAATCTGAGATATTAAGCTATAAGGACATTCATCATAGCCTTGTTTTTGATAGTGTAAAATTGAAAATAACATAAATATCCTCAATAGGGAATTGGTAAACAAATTATGGCCCAACCAAACAATGGCATACTATACAGCCATCAAAAGTCGTGAAGAAAAATGTGTGATTACATGGAAAGATGATTAAGATATTGTTATAAAATGGTATATGGAACATGGTTCCATTTTTATCAAGTGCATATTTTTCCATATTTATGAATATTTCCTTAAGATGGATTTTCAGGCATAGGATTAATAAATTATTCAGAAAAGATGGATAGTTAATATGCATATATGCATATACATGATTATATTGGTGAACGTATATATGTGAAGATGATCAGTGGTTCTTGGGGCAAGGAGGTCATTATCCTCCCCTTCCCTTTTTTTGCTTGTATTTATATTTTCAGAATTAACTACAGAAGTCACATATTACTTTTGTATTATCATAAAGAGGGAAGGATGTTTTGCTTGCTTGTTTCACAAGAGAAGTTTGAAGGTTGGGGCTGATGAGAACAGGACTGGGCCTAAGGCAGAATTTTGGCAGATGATGTGCTAAGGACATGGCCCTCCAAGCCTGGTTGGAGGTAGAGGTGCACTGCCACTCTAGATGGGACTCTGTCCTCTGTTGGGACACTGCATTCTCTCCTCCTCCCCCAGCCCCAGTGGGGATATCCGGTGCCACAGTAGGGGTCCGTCTCTCAGTCTCTAAATGCTTCTCTGCATTTCAGTCTGCGCATCTGCCATCTCCACTCCTGTCCTCCTCGTAGGTTCCGGAGCCATCGTTGCTGCCATTGTGGTGGTTGTCATCATCATCTTCACTGTGGTTCTAATCCTGCTGAAGATCTACAACAGGTACGGGATGCCCTGGGCTTTGGACGGTCTGGTCCCTTCAGTAATGTCAGAATGAAAGGGAACTAACATTTGTGGGTGCCTGTCATGTGCTCAGCTGTATCCATGAGTCTGTCATCAAATGCTCTAACCTTTGGTGGGTCCTTTATTTGTGTGTGAGGAAGATCAGCCCTGAGCTAACATCCATGCCAATCCTCCTATTTTTGCTGAGTAAGATTGGCCCTGGGCTAACATCTGTGCCCATTTTCCTCTACTTTATATGTGGGGTGCCTGGCACAGCATGACTTGATGAGTGGTGTGTAGGTCCACGCCTGGGATCCGAACCTGCGAACCCTGGGCCGCCGAAGCAGAGCGCACGAACTTAACCGCTACGCCACCGGCCCTGGTGGGTCCTTTTTTGATATCTGTTCTGCTGTAGGAACATCACAGTGACCAAATATTTTTGTATTTGGAGAAATAGTTTTTAAATATAATAGTGATAATGACAATGATAATGGCCTTGAGCACGGTGGTAAACAAGTGTATGTAATTTACAGACAATAGAGGAATGTTTCAATCCTTTTCTCTTGGAGAGCCCTCTGCTAGTTGTATTGAATGTATTTCAGGTGACAAATATTGGAATGCACATACCCCCAGCTCCACTTTCTGGGACCAAATAAGAAGAAATAAAATCGTAAAATGTGATAGCATAAGGAATAAATATTGTGTTATCACCTTCTGTGTTAGCACCTCTAAGTCACAACTTTGCTAGGAGGTTATTCTTTTCAGGGGAGAAATCAAAATAAAAAGACTATAAATACAAAAACTATAAATACAACCATATCACAGAAGACTTAGAAACCATTAAGAAAAAGGATATCTTAGAACTGTGTGTATTGATGAGGAAAGCTGTTTCCAATATATGATAGAAGTTTACAAAATAACATGTACATTATGATCCTACAGGATTATACACACACCTAAGGAATGTTCAAATGACACACAGCAATGTGTTAACAACCAGTGTGTCTGCACGATGGGATTACTAGTTGGTTAGTTGGTTGGTTAGTTTTTGTAGGGGCAGGGGATGTGCTTCTTTATTTTTTAGAAGTAAACATGCATTGTTTCTATAGTAATATTAATATTATTTATAAAGGTAGCTAACGTATATTGATCTCTTACTATGTGCCAGGCATGGTTCTAAGCTCCTCACATGTGTCAACTCATTTCATCCCGACAACAACCCCACAAGGTGGGGACTTCTATATCCCCAATTTTATGGGTGTAAAACGGCACAGAAAGATTAAGTAACATGCCCAAGGTCGCGCAGCCCTCGTTGGCAGAGTTGAGAGTCAAAGCCAGTCCATCTGGTTTCAAAGAAAATAAATACTCCCATCACTACCTATAATAATAATAATAATAATGATAATAATAATAACATTTAATGAATTATTTTTAAAAATCTTTGGGGTATTACAATTTGAGTCCATCCCAAACATGGGATCAAACCACGTCTGCCCTTTATTCCTCTCCATCATTGCTGGAGCTCCGAGCCTCTTTTGTAGGTTGTAATTTGGATAGAGACTCACTCACCCGTCCTGTTTACCATGATGCCTGGGCTGGGAATTGAGAAATCTGGGTTCAGTCATTGGTCTGTCAAAAGCAGGCCAGTCATTTAACCTCTCTGTGCCTCAATTTTGTCATCTTGAAAATGGAAGAGCCACCAAGTGTGATAATTGTGTTATGGTTACATGGAGGATGCCCTTGTTTTTAGGAGTATTGAGGGGTGAAGTGGCCTGATGTCTGCAGCTAACTCACAAATGGTTCATGATTTAAAAAAAACTCTGGGGGCCAGACTGGTGGTGCAGCAGTTAAGTGTGCGCACTCCACTTTGGCGGTCCGGGGTTCGCAGGTTCAGGTCCCGGGCGCGGACCGACACACCGCTTGTCAAGCCACACTGTGGCGGCATCCCATATGAAGTGGAGGAAGATGGGCACAGATGTTAGCCCAGGGCCAGTCTTCCTCAGCAAAAAAAGAGGAGGATTGGCAAGAGATGTTAGCTCAGGGCTGATCTTCCTCACAAAAAAAATAAAAATAAAAATAAAACTCTGTGTGTGTGTATGTGTGTGTGTGTAAGTGGAGAAAGAGAGAGGGAAAAAAGCCAACGTGGCAAATTGTTAACAATCGGTGAATTGTTCGGTGAAGGGTATTTGGGTATTAATTGTACTACTCCTGCAACTTTTCTGAGGACTTGAAATTTTAAAAAAAGAATTATGATAGGTCACCAAGATGAAGTCTCATGTAGACATTAGTGTTAATGATTGTTGTTAGTTATTGAATTTAATGGCATATGAAACAAAAGGATTTTAGTTTTAAGTACATTCTCTCCTCAACTATGTAAAAAGTTCTTAAATATTTCTGGCAATAAACTTAGCAAGTGTAATGAAGCTGCAAATTTTAATTCACACAACTTTGAACAGAAAAAATGTAATGCCTTCATTTTGTCTTTAATAGAGCTACATATCTGACACTTTACTGATTCGTTAATAGGAAAAAATAAATCAAATATCTACTCTAGGTTAAACAAAAAATTAAAGGGTCAGACTAGCTGATATCTAAGGTCCCTTCCAGTTGTAAGGTTCTGTGGCTGGCAATTAAGCAATGTGATTTAATGAGGATCTACATTAATCTCCTCGCCAGAGCCATAATCACAGAGCCCGTTCCCCAGGGCATACAAGGGGGAGGACTCAGGCGTGTGTGCGTGTCTCATTCCAGGAAAATGAGGACAAGACGGGAGCTGGAGCCCAAGGCCCCCAAGCCAGCCTCCCCTTCTGCCCTGGACCCAAACAGCAACAGCAGCCAGCACCCTGCAACTGTGACCTTCAGCCCTGTTGACGTCCACGTGGAGACTCGGTGACCCCACCCTAGTGCTATCTCGGCCACTGTCCAAGGAGCCTTCTCCAGTCAAGACCAAGAAGCACATTCTCTGGCAGCTTCACTATGAGCCCCTTCTGGTCAGGTCGACAGGGGCATCTCTTACGCAATTCCTGATGCTCCAGGCAACCCCCATCATGCCCTGCCCCTCCCCAACTACGTCCACATCCCTGCTGCCACCCTTCCAAAAAGCTGTGGAACTTTCTTTTGTCATCTGATGCCATAGAGCTATGTTGGGAATCCACTGATGTGGGTTTGGCTCTCTTCCCCCAAACACGATAGCTAGACAGACAGAGAGACAGACAGACAGATATAGCCCAGGAGTCTTCTGGTCAGGAGTCGGGAGTCACAACAGAGTCTGCCACTGGGGTCACATCAGAGTAACGGCCATATGCACAGCTTTGCAGAGCAAAATATTCAATCCCATAATCAGGCACAGGGCAACTAACTTGGACTAACTAGAAAACCAACTTGTGTTTCAGTACTAGGTGACCGCCAGCTAGCTCATGACAATTAGTCAGCACATTTTTCCCTCTTGAAGAAAGGTTATGGGAAAAACTGAATTCTTCTCAAAGGTTTCTACTTCATTAGTAAACAGAGTAGAAAGAAAGGGGGCCTTTGAGGAATAATGGCCTCTAGGACAAAAGCTTGTTGCAGTGTCCATGGGCCTGGAACGAGCCTGGTGGCTGGTCAGGGCCCCTCCTCTCCCTCTGGGGCTGGACTAACCCTGACTCGTTCTCATTTCTTTGCTCCCCTCTATTTAGATTCTGAGCAATCCTCACTCTCCAGTTAACACCTTACCTCCGAGGAGCAGTATTTCGAGACTGATTAGATTACAACTGTATTTATGTTACCTAAGCCCTTTCTGGTCACCTTGCAGAGATTCAGGACATATTCAGAGTACCACAGTCACAAACCGTTTCTCTGTACAGAGCTGATCTCTTTGACTTCTCAGCCTGGAGAACAATTTATCGAGGGGGAAAGCATTTTAGAATTAAGCAGAACTGCTTTCTAAGCTCTACCTCCTGGTTATGTTGCCTTGGAAAAGTGACTCGACCTCTCCATATTCTGTTTCCTAACCATGAAGTGGGAATGGTAACATCTGCCTCGGGGTTACTGTAACAAGTCAAAGACGTCGGAAAGCAGCTCCCATAGTGCCGGGCACCCAGCAGACGCTTAGTAAATGGGAGCTGGCGTTATTACAATATTTCTTCAATTGCAAGACGTACATTTGTTCACATTTTAATGATTCTGAAATCACAATGTCTTAAAGTTGATAAGTCCATTAATGTAGTTGTATTTTTTCCCCTCCATCTCAAAAAGCTATTTTTAATCAATCGTGCATCTTACAATTGAAGGCATCTTGGAAACAAGGTAATAAATCTTTAATCTGTTACAGAAAGTGACACATTCTAACATTTCACCTCAAATTCTAGAAGCCTCTCCCTTTTGGGATCAGAAATCCCTTTTGAGGGGAAAATGAGAGTCAGGGAGGTAAGAGGACTGACCCAGGATCACACAGCTCCTGTCATCCCACTATGAAAACACTCACTTGAATATGTCTGGAGAAATACTGGCAAATTCTTCCTCCCTGGACATCTTTTCTCCCACTGTGTTTAAATATCCACTAAATACCAGGCACTTTGCAAGGCACTTTCATATAAGTTATCTCATAGGATTCATTTTTCCTGATAAACCTGGGAGGTATTATTTTTTCCATTTGCAGATGAGAATTTCAAACTCAAAGAGAAAAAGTACTTGCGGAAAGTCACACAGCTAGTAAGTTGCAGAGACAAGACTCAAAGCCAGGTCTCTCTGACTCCAAAGTCTACCATTTTGTTGTATGACACTTTTTTCCGCTATTCTGGCTCAACGAACTTGGATTCATTTGTGGGCTGAGCAAGAGGACAGGCTTATCCATGTGTGTGAGTGGAAGTTAGGGGTCTAGCTTCCAAAACAAAAGTGGGGACAGCCGCTTTGGTAGCCTCCTTTGGGCTTCCATGATTGTAGCCAAAGTAGCCCTTTCTAAACCCATCCAAGCTCTAAGGATTCCTGCTTTGTTCCCCCTACCATTTAGGCCCAAGGAGCAAGGAGTGGGACGACACTGAACCAGGGCAAAGCCATTTCTTTAAGGCCTCAAGCTCCAAAGAGTTATGTTTCCCAAATGTATTCTGCTTTAAAAAAAAAAAAAATTGTTTGGAATGTTTCAGCCCTAAAACCAGACTCTTCTGCCCACACTGGAATCTTCCTGGAATTACTAGAGGAATTTTCCTCTAGTAAATGTTCTTTTGCTAAATGAAGGCTTGTAAACAGAGGAAAGAGGGGGAGGTAGAGAGGTGAAGGGGAGGCAAATAAAAGGGTTTTAGTGTTTTGTTTTTAACTAATGAAGCTAACTCAGTAAACATCCTTTAAGGGCTCCTACGTGCAAGTTGAGGTGCTACTAAACACACTAAGTCATGGTCCCTTCTCCCGAGGAGTCTCAGCTGGTCTCCGGTGACAGGGATCTTGCAGCACGGTGCCTTCCCTAACTGAGCAGATGCTGCCTCACTTGGCCACTGAATCAATAAAAGATGTTAAAGGCTTAAAGGAAAATGTCTGAAAATAAAAAGATTTAAATCAAACATTTGTTGAGTTGATTTCAATTAAGTTTAGAGCTAACAAATACCTTTTTTAAAGACTTCCTTTCCCTGACAAGGTAAATGGTCCTGTGGAGGAAGCCTGAGTCTTTTCAAATGTTGCGTTCTCGCTTCTAAAGGGTGGTGGAAAAGGTGGGCTGCCGTCAACAGACCTTCCTGTGAGTTAGAAAACTTGTTAACTTGATAAAATATGACAAAAGGAAATCCCATTTCACGGCCTACAGTTAAACACCAGAGTCACTGAGATGCCAAGGCTTGGGGACCCCTGGGATTGTAGGAGACATTAGACTGGAACCCAGCTCACCAATAATGATGTTTACCATTAACGAAGCTCCTACTGTGTGCCAGGTATATGATGGGCCCTTTATATCCACCAGCTCCTTTAACCATTACAACTCGAATGTGTAGAAGCCATCATTATTTCTATTTTCTGGATGAGGAAACAGGTGCAGGGAGGTAACTTGTCCTTAGGTGATGCAGTGGACATTTGTCATTCTTTTGGTGACCACTGTCGTGTTTGAGGAGTCCTCGACTTTAAGAGGCAGAATTATCTCCTGCTATAAAAGCAGGAAAGGCCAGACACTCATTTTCCCAGAGTCCTTTGCAGCTAGGGTGAGGGTGCCTGACCTAGGCTCTGCCAATCAGACAGTCCTGCCATGGACTTTGAATCCAGAAGTTGGTGACATCAAAAAACAGGAACTGTACAGAACTTGCTCTGGTGGCAGGTATGTTGGCACCCTCCATTTCAAGAGGCAGTGACGTTGGGGGTTCTAGCAGTAATGGTGGGGTCATTCTTGAGTCCAGACCCAGTGACTATGGAGTTGGCAATGTGAGCTATGCCTGACAACAACAGTAACGGTGTCTGTACCAAACCAGTTCTTCAGTATGATCTTCTGCATTGTACCTGGCAGCATACCTCTGAGCCTGGTTCTGGCCTTCTGGAGATTCCAGCAACTACGTGGTTCCCTTTTCTGCTTAAATCAGCAGTCACTTCCTGCTGCTTGTAGCTAATAACTCTATGGCTGTGGGGGACTTGCTCATGGCCACTCATCTGGGAAGTGGCTGGCACTGGTACCCAGGTCTCCAAAGCTCTTGCTTCTCGGTGAGGCGAAGTGATCAAAGAATCCACAAAGTGCTGTGGAATCATAGAGAAGATAGAGTTGGCTTCAATTACACATACCCCAGAGACTTTGTGAATGTTAATGAGGGAGTATTTTAAAAGAATCTGGAAGAATGGGTAGGATTTTTTTTAAGTAAAGTTTTTCTATTGAAGTACAACACACGTGTGTGTGCAGCTCAAAAAATGTTCAGAAACTGAGCACACTTGTGTAACCAGCATGAAAATGAAGAAATAAAGCATTAACAGCATCCCAGAAGCCTCCCTTTTCCTCTTCCTATCCTGCTCACCTCCCACAAAGGGTAAACACTATCCTTACTTTTACCACCATAGAACAATTTTGTCCATAACTAGAATTATAGTGTACACTCCTTTGCTTCTGGCTTCTTTGGCACAACACGGTGTTCGTAATATTTGTTCGTATTGTCACCTGTAATTGAAGATCATTCATTCTCATTGTGGTAGTATTTCATAATGTGACTATAACTACATTTTATTTATTCATTCTACTGTTTGATGTACATAAAAGTTGTTTCCAATTTGGGTCTGTGACAAGAAGTACTGCTATGAACAATTTGGTGATCATATATATATTTCTGTTGGGAATATTTCCAGTAGAGTAATTGCTAGGTCACAGGGTATGTGTCTATTCAGCCTTAGTCAATAGTGCCAAACAGTTTTCCCAAGAGTTGTACCAATTTACATCCCCACAGCAGTAGATAAGAGCTCCGCTGGAATCCACTGGAATCAAATACTAGGATATTTTCTGATTCTTTAATTTCAGTCATTCTGATGTGTGTGCAGTGGTCTCTCATTGTGGTTTTAATTTGTATTCCCTGATGATTAATGGAACTGATCCCTTTTTCATATATTTATTGGCCATTTATTTATTTATTTATTTTTGTGTGTGAGGAAGATCAGACCTGAGCTAACATCTGCCAATCCTCCTCTTTTTTTGCTGAGGAAGACTGGCCCTGTGCTAACATCTCTGCCCATCTTCCTCCACTTTATATGGGATCCCGCCACAGCATGGCTTGCCAAGCGGTGCGTCGGTGCACGCCCGGGATCCGAACCGGTGAAACTCGGGCCGCCGCAGTGGAGCAAGCGCACTTAACCGCTTGCGCCACCAGGCCGGCCCCTATTTATTGGCCATTTAGATCTCATCTTTTATGAAGTTAATTTTCCATTTCTGTCCATTTTTTGTATTTGGTTGTCTTCCTTTTTCATTATTGACTTGTAGGAGTTTTACATACATTTTGGGTATAAGTCCTTTGTCATCCTGTGGCTTGCCTTTATGTAAATAACAGCTTTATTGAGATATAATTCACATACCATCAAGTTCACCCTTTTAAAGTATACAATGCAGTAATTTTTAGTATATTCACAGATTTGTGCAGCCATCACCACTATCAAATTCCAGAAAATGTTCATCACCCCCAAAAGAAGCTCCATGCCCATTAGCAGACACTTCCCACTGCCCCCTCTCCCCAGCCCCTGGCAACCACTAATCTACTTTTTGTCTCTATGGACTCGCCTATTCTGG